TTGAGTTTAAAAGCCACTTCACTGCTGATTCCAATCAAATTTAGATTTTTCACAAATTTTTAAAGTTGCTCCAAAATTGGGCCAAAGTCCCTGTACTGTAGTTTGTAGTGGTGAGAAGTTCTTCCCCTTGGAAGTAGAGGAGGAAATGTGTGAATTGAAGAAGGAATTTTTATTTTTATTATTTTTCTATCACTTATTTCCGTTATTATTATCTCATTTGTTAACCTACTATTTATCCTTGTGTTATATCTATTTTGTAAAAAAATGTTTATTTAAGGGCTCAGTTCCCTCCTACACTGTACTATAGTACAGGGACTTTGGCCTGATTTTGAAGCAACTTTTAAAATTTGTAAAAAAATCCAAATTTGATCGGAACCAGCCCAAACTTTCTACGCAACTTAAGTACATTTATATGCATCAGAAAATGCAATAAAAATGGAGAATTCTCTACTTTTCATTTTTGGCTAAAATTTGGCCCAAGACCATGTACTATAGTACAGGGACTTTTGTCCAATTTTGGAGAAACTTTAAAAATTCGTAAAAAATCCAAATTTGATCAGAATTAGCTCAAACTTTCTACATAACATAAGAACATGTATATGCATCAGAAAATGTCATAAAAATTAAGAATTATCTCCTTTTTATTTTTGGCAAAATTTGGCCCGAGACCGTGTACTATACTATAGTACAGGGACTTTTGTCTGATTTTGGAGCAACTTTAAATTTGATCAGAATCAGCTCAAACTTTCTACCCAACATAAGAACATAGACCTATGTATCAGATAATGTATTGAGGTGTTTGGTCAGTACTAACATACAAACTTACTCTTCTTTGTCTCAGTTTGACCAGTAGCTGTATTCCCCATTGTTTCTTGTACTGGTATTGTAATGGTGCTATTAGTATCAGTGGGTTTACTTCTCTCCATGTATTGATTGAAGAAAGAAGGTCTGTACAGTTTTATTAGTGAATCCAGTGCTGATACATCTCCAATCATAATGACTCCTTTATCAAACATTACTTTAACAAACTGAGGTATGGCTACTGATCTATAGTTGTACCCATCAAGATGGACACTGCTTATGAAGGTAAGGGCGTTTGATCTCTCTCTTACCGGATGAAGATCATACGGCAAGAAGGAGGTGACAGTCAAGAGTAGGTCTGCTTTAGGATAAGAGGATGCCATGTTAAAGTCAGGGGAAGCATATCTTGTTAGTTCAGCTAGTCCAGTGAATCCAAACTTCTTCAATACGTGTACAGTGAAGGATACTGATAGCTGGAGGTCACCTGTAGAAGTGCTGAGAGAATTGAATAAG